AGGGACGGCGGGCAGGGACGGCGGGCAGGGACAGCGGAGTGATGGTGATAGGAGACAGCGGGCGGTGGGTGGCGGGCAGCAGGTGGGCGGGCGCGCGGCGGCGGGCGGGCGGCGGGCGGCGGGGCGGGCGGCGGGCGCGGCGGGCGGCGGCGGCGGGCGGCGGGCGGCGGGCGCGGGCGGCGGGCGGCGGGCGGCCGGGCGGCGGGGCGGCGGGCGGCGGGCGGCGGGCGGCGGGCGGCGGGCGGCGGCGGCGGCGGGCGCACGGGGACATAGGTGGAGGTGACGGAGATGAGGGCAGCGGCACGAGAATTTCAATCGCAGCTCCGATACTGCAGCCAAAGCTCGCTGCTAGGAACATGCAGAGACCAACGCTTAGTTGCCCGAACCAGAGCCATTGGACTAGTTGATAACACTTCGCACTACAAGTGGAACACTCGCGTGTGGTCGATTCCCAAGTCGGTGCTGGCGGGGAGATTTTCGCTTGAGCGTTTTCCACCGAGGTCACAATTATTATTTCCTTTACGCTTTCAGTGCTATATCATTTGTTAAACGCTTCAGAAAAAAACTTTTATTTGCTTTATACGCAATGAAACTGTATCAGAGGACATCTTTCTATTACACTGCCGAATTTTAAGTTGAGTTTTACAAAACAGGAACGAGCTCCTAATTACTCTTAACACGCCTGACCATCGTCTCAGAATCACAAACATTCGACAGTTTTTCTTAGATTGATTTTCTGCGTTTGTTCAATAAACATTTTGTATGAAACGTTTCCGAAATTCTTCCAACGAAATTAAATATGAGGAAGTAGTTACACGCCAATAACCATTTGAAAAAGTTAATGACTGCTTTTTCTAATAACTCGTTGCTCGACTTCTTTTCTATTGTTAGAAAAATCATTCGTTAATGTGACTCATTTTCAGAGCAATTTTGCATCGATTACAAGCTTTCTCATAAACAGTACAGCGTTAATTTCATTCCTAATGTCCTAGAAACAGAAATTGCTCAGAAATTATAAATGAATGTATTAAAACGTATTTCTTTAATACTTGAGTTTATAGTCTCTAATTATCCATTTTTGTTATCCACCTCAAAGTAAATACTTCTTTGAAGGAGACACTTCATTTATTTTTCTCAATCGATTTCACCATGAAGGATAAATGAGTCAGGAAATTTCTTTCAACATAAACGTTCAAATACTTCAAATTTTTATCTAATCCTAAAATGTTTCAAATCTTCATTATTTAATGTCTATCATTATCACCTTTTCTCCTTAAAATATTTATTTTCAAAAATATTAAGTAACATTATCTATTACGCAATACAATCAGGAATCTCAATTCTAGTGTGGTGAACAAATGTGGGACAAAAACATCCAAACCGTATCTACGCACGTGGTTCTAAAGTTTATCACCATTTATCCTCAAACTGCTTCTTTGTCCTCTAAAGACTACATAAACATACTCGCTCTATTTATTGAGCAATGCAACTAGCAGTCTCAATTCAGATGTAGTAATTATATCCAAACTTTCGCATCGCCGAACGTAGTCGTTAAGTCTATCATCATCCTGACCATTCATTCTAAGAGCCCGTTTTTGTCCTCTGAAGAATACAACTAAAACAGACTCGCACCACTTCGCAATGAATGCAATCAACAGCCTCAATTCTAATGCGGGAAATTTATGTAACCTTCCCTCATCTCCGCAAGTGGTCTACAGTCTGTCATCACTTCCATTCATCCTCAAAATGCTTTTTTCCCTGTAGAATGCAACATACACATACTCGCTTTTTGATTGATCAGTGCCATCAGCAGTCTCAATTCAGATGTAGAAATTGTATGCATCCTATTTGCATCACTACAATCATCATCAGCATTTATCCTCAAAATGCTTCTTTGTTCCAAAAATAATAGTAGTAAAGCAGACTCGCTCTATCAACTATGCAATATTAATTCAGTTAATAATTATATCCAATATATTCGTATCCCCGCAAGTGATATAAAGACACATCATTACCATTCATCCTCAAAATGCTTTTTTGTCCTATGTAGAATGGAAGTAAAACAGTTCGCTTCATTTATTCAGCTATGCCACTAGCTGTCTCTAATTCAAAAATGGGAATTTTGTGCAACGTTTTTGTATCCCCTCACGTATTCTCAACCCTATCATTATCACCATGTAGCCTCAAATGAGTTTTTTTGTCTCTGGAGAAAGGAATTAAGCCGACTAGATCTATTTATTAAACAATGCAACCAGCAGTCTCAATTAAAATGTGGGATTTTTACCTACATCGCACCTATACGCACCCTCGCAAGTGGTCTAAAGTTATCATGAGTACCATTCATAGTCAAAATGTGCTTTTGTCCTCTGAAGACAGCAACTAAAAGTGGTATACAGTCCACCCCCACCATTCCTCCTCAAAATGCATTTTTGCTCTCTGGAGAAAGGGATTAAAAAAGACTCGCTCTCTTTATTGAACAATGCAACCAGCGGTCTCAATTCAGATGTGGGAATGTTATGCAGCGCGTCGCATCGCCCCTGCGGAGCGGCGGTCGTCCACGCGGAGCGGCTGCGGCGGCGCTGCGGCGGCCATTCGATCGCGCGCCATCGGAGCGCGGCGCGGCGCGCCAGCCGGAACGGACCGCGAAATTCGGGCGAACCCAAACAGCCACCGGCCGGTCCACCGCCGCATTCATTCGCGCCGCACCGTGGCCGGCCCTGCGAGGCTGCCACCGTCCCCGCTCGCCAGCCGACCCACGTGGCCCTTCCCGCGACCCGTCCGCCTCGACCCTCCCTGCGAACCGTCCGCGTGACCTTTGCGGCGCCCCGCCTCCTTACGACACTGGCCTCGCGCCGCCGTCTCTCCGATCTGCGAGCAGTTCCAGCATCCCAATCCAAAGTCCCATCCACGCGTTCCGTCCTCACGACCCATCTTCACAACCCCGTTCTCCCGCCTCTTCCCTGCGTCCCGCCACCCGTCTCCAGGCTAATCCAAAAACGCTACGCCGACTCTGTATTACCAATGTATCGCAATCATACACTCTACACTTACTATACTACATGCCGCTCCTTCCATCCCCATGCGAAAGATATTCTGCCTGTTCTTTCTCAATTCCTCCAACATGTCTTCACTGAAATCTTTCTAACACCGTCCTAGTGAGTCCACCCTCGAGTCTCTCTCCTCCTAGGTCTATTCTTCTATTCGCTCTAGTGCTCTAAAATCAGCATCTAATTATATGTTTCGCTGTTCGGAAAGCATTGATTATTTCTGCAAATTGTTGTTGCCCTCATATCTTATCGTAACTCATCCTTCTCCTTAAGGCTCAAGGTAACTTTCTTGGTTGAGCTTAGCACTTCCCATTCGCCTTTCAGCACACATCGCCTCGAACCACTTGTTTCAATCTACAGAAAGACAACCAGTAAGTTGTACGTTTCACTACCCTACCCGCTCTCAGGACGTTGCCAAAATGCCACCAGCCTCGACATGCAGCACGGATAATTTCCAAAGTTCCTTCTGCTTTTCCACGTCATTCCGTCCGTTCCCGGTGTGCCCCCTTCATTTCATCACTATGTTATTTTTGCTTCCCCGACACATCATCTGTTTACCCACCGCGTTATGTCGGTTTCCTGGTTCCACGGTTTTTCCTTCACTTCATCCTCGTCGCGCCCCACTTTGGCGGTTGCTCGCGGCCTGTGGTGCGTTGTGTCGCGCCCGCGGTCAGCTCGCCACGAGGGCCATTCGGGGTCCGCACCTCGGCGCCGCCGCGTCGGCCTCAAAATGGCTGCGACCCGCCCCGCCCCCTCTCGGCGCGGAGCAGGCCAGAGCGATGCGCCGCGCCGCTAGGTTCATTATGCAGGCGGAGGTTCTGCGGTGACGCGTGAAAACGCCGCCTCGCGTTCACGCGCCGCCGAGCGACCGGCCACGCATGCACCGCGCTCGGCCGCGGAATTGCGAGCGGGCAGCGGAGCGTTCAGCGCATGCATGTATTCAAACGGTGGCCCTCGCGCCGAATTTGAAATATTTTCTTTCTGTAGGCTGGGGTTACATTCAGTTTGTAAGCAGTTTACTTTCCAAAAATGTCGGTTAGTGCTCAGTTTATTGCAGAAACAATCTGTTACTTGTATTTACGAACATATTTGTTTTAATATCTTGCTGTTCTTTGCAATTCATGTCGACTGAAAACGCAATGCGCAGTAACGTTTCTTATTACATCGGAGTACATTTAGGATTAATCATGCAACACATTACGGGTGTCTTAGAGAATGTGTACCTGCTTAATAAGTTTCATTGAAGGAGATAAAATAATGACATGGAATTCTACATTAGAAGACCCATTACTCCAACCAGAAGTAAGCGACGTCGATCAATAGCATTAGTGGTTTTCTGGACAATTGTCGTTTCAAAGCACACTGATTCTTATATTAATGACAGCAATATTTTCGTGGGTAAATAAGAAAAGCTAATATCACAGTTTACAATCAACGTACTGATTGCATTTCCTAGAAAAAGAAAAAGCCATTCAGCCTTTATACAAAAGAGTCGTGGCTTTTAACATTTGAATGAAAGTCGAAAGTAACTCACTCACATTCAAGTGAACATTTTCAAATTAACCCTTACAATAATTATTACCCACATTTTATGCAGTATATTATGTATAAGTTATAAATTATAAATAATTACAGAATGGTTACTTTCATGAGAAGAAGTTTAAAAAATTCAAGAACAACTAACATTTAAGTAAACTTAATAGAAACTAGGAAGAACAAAAATTTGAAATACACCTGCCCCCTACACGTGATTGCCACATTTTGAACGAAAATATTTGACATTTTACGAAAGGGTCGCAATCATTTTCAAATCAAAATTATCATAATCAATATTACCGACATTTCTTGTAGTATACACCAAATATTAGAAAATAATAATGACAAAATGCTTCCTTATTAGAGAAAAAAATTTCACGTCGAAGCCTCTCAAGCTGAAAGAATATTAACGTAAACCTAGCAGAAAGTAGGAAAGCCGAGGAGTTTGCAAAGCAGCCTCGCGTTCCCGGGCGCCGGCGCTGTGGGCCTGGCCGTGGCAGAGCCGCGAGGCGCCGGCCGATGGGCAGCAGCTCGGCGCGGCGCGTGTCGTGACGAGGGGCAATCCCCCGCCGCCGCCGCCGCCGCCGCCCGCCTCTCAGACCGGCTTCCCCGAGGAGAGCGCCCGAATCCATTAGAGATCCGCCGAGCGAGCGCTTTCGCCGCCGCCCCCGTCGCCCCCGTCGCCCCCGCCGCACCCGGCCACCCCAACCATCCTGCTGCCGCTGATGCTCCTGGAACAGACCCGCCCATCACGCCGCCCTTGCCGGGCAAAACCACTGTTTTCATCACCTTTCGTTTCTTACACCGCCTTCGGCACTTCCGACAACTTCCGGTGACTATTATTCGCGACGTAGATTTCATCCCGGCGTTATCCCGACACTAACATCTTGTGTTTTCTGGTATATACAAATTGCCGTTTGATCCGACTGGTGTCTCGGAAACGAAACTTTCCTTTTACCAGAATCCTTTATAATCACTTTGCTTGTATCACTATACCTCACAATTTTATTTTATTTAGACATCGATGGGAATTGATGTGCATTCCACATTCGTCAAAGGTCAGTGTGTAGAATCTTTATTATCTCACAACATCGATCACTCAGAGATGGTGCCTGGCGTTGCCAACCTTCACTTCCACTCTCAGATTTCTTCGCAGTTTGCTTCGCTCCAACTCGCCTTGGCCAAATCCACTTCGTCTCTCCCCGCCCTGTCCCCTGCTTCGCCAAGCCTCACCCTCCTCTTATTTCGATCTCATCCCATTCATGCCATACGCTACGACTCCTAGCGGTGACGCTTGAACTCTCCGAAATCACGGCGTGGGTTCGGAGTGGCCGCGTCGAGTCGAGTCGCCGACGGAGATGCCCGGAGTAAAAAGCAAACACGAAGCCGGGAAATTGATTCGTGATTCGCTTTCCGGGCGAAGCGTCCCGGGTCCCGTGACAGATGGCAGCCCGCAGCTCGCCCACATGCACATTTCTAATTACGCCGCCTCCGCCGCCCGCTCCGCGCCACGAACTCTCTGCCCCTCCGCCCGCCCGCCCGCCCGCCGGCCGGCCGGCCGGTTAATTAGAGGGGTTTTTCGAGAGTATTACGGCGCGGCTTTTTTGCGCGCGGTCGATGGCGCGCGACAGCCCCGCGCGGTGCTTAAGAAGCGCAGATAGAATATCGATGTTTACCAAAGCGCCTACCTCTCATTGCCAAGTGGCGGTAATAGCGGAGCGACAAAGCGAGGAATGCCCGCGCGCCCCCGAAGGCCGCAAGCGGGACCCGAGGAGACGAAAATGCACGTTGCAAAGAAGAAAAGAAAACTTCTTTCTACCCTAAATTACCTGCTGTTTGATACAAAGAATCACATAATAAAATACTTACGCTATTAAGCTAAAATTATACATGATAAAATTGTTCAGTTTTCAGAACATCAAATTATGATTTCAGAAAATATTTTTTTTAATATGTTCACTTATTGAAATTTCATGAAAAAGAACACTGCAAAATAATTCAGGCAACAACGTCATGCAACGTATTTTAATTCTGTGACATGTTTGATATTCCTATATCTCTGAGCGTATAATTGGATATTGAAAATTAGAAAAATTATGAAGAAAGTTGCTGTATGAAATACGGAAAATAGGAAAGGATATATTGTTAATTTGTGTAAATGAGATACAAAAAAACCAGTTTTCAAAATGCACAATATTTATAGGTGAGATTATAAAAGAGAAGCATTAATATGGAGAAAAGTACTTTTCCGGTAAAATTCGAGAGCAGAGTTTTTCGTACAGAGCACGAGAAATTTTTGCTGAATAAAGGCTTAAAAGAGAATTAGCGCCCTCGAATTTTATTCGTTCTTTCTAATTTTCTTCACAACAAAACAAACTTTCTCATTATTACACACTCTGTCGTACACAAAAATATTAACACACGAAAATAGCTTACCCACTTTGAGGATGAGTGTAAGGAATCAACAATTGTGACTTTTAACACCCATAAGTCTTCTCGACTTATCAAGTTCGTATCGAGCTACACAATCTATTAAAATAAAACATGTCGGTGAAAATACTGGCTGAAGTAGGTACAGTGTCTCTGACCAGGAGGTCCTAGGGCTTATGTCCCAACGGAGACAGATTTTTCGACACTATCTTGTCTTCTGGGTCGGATTAAGCTCCTGTCAGGAGGAGAATTCTAGCGGTTAGCCGCTGTGATTGGTAGTTTTTCATGGTTTCTCCGACGATCAACACCACGCAAATTTCGGAGTAGCGCCCTAAGAAACGGGCCATGATCCGCGACCTTTACTTTCTCTTCCATGTCCTGTCCTTACTCCTTATACATACTTATAATTAAACGCACGTCACTATTACACATATCCGGAGAAGAGTCGTGAGCTCAGAGCTTGACCCGTCTGGGGCGGTGCCCTGCTGGGGGGCAAATCCAAGCCAACGTGTGTGTCGGCGTCGGATCTTACCATCCAGAGGGGAAATAACACTGTCGCCTACCATAATAAAAGCATGCGCTACACTAAGGGACTAATACCATAATGACACACCCGGAAACACGAAATAATAAATCAGTCGGTGAAAATGATGGTCTGCAGCATTCGCTCCTATCAAGCCTATCAAGCAATCAAGCATTTCAAGCCAACGCAGCTCCGACTACGCTAAAACAATTAGATAGACACGTCCTCACTATTGGACAAAGAACACAAGCACTCCCCTCTGATATTCTGAGGGCGTAGTGCAACACAAAAGCCAATTTGGTTATTGACTAAGTCCCGCCGCGAACTCACACCACGCACTTACACATAGCAGTAAAACGCGAAAAGCGAGCGAACTGCAACACAACTTCAAACACATAAACATTCGGCTAATACGAAAAAAAAGCAAGACGTGTCCCAACATGCATGTACCCGCTCAGCTTTCCAACAATGACGTAAGATACCGAGACAGATAACTCCTCGGTAATCCCTCGCCCTTCCGACCCACTGTGCGAGGCAGCGCGACGCGCCGGCAGATACGCATCGGCTCAGGGCGCCGACCGCTGCGGCCGCGCCGCTCGCCTCTTTAACGCGTTGCGAGCGCCTGACACGCGACACCCCGCCAAATGTGGGTCGCGACGCTCGTTTTTCCGCTGTCGCGTCGCCGTGCCGGAGCCACTCCGCAGATATGATAATTTGTGACGCGCGCCCATTCATCAGGCCGGCTGCAGGGAGTGGGAGAGGCAAACGCGGACGTGGGTGGACGAAGGTATTGCTTCCGAATTTCAAGTACCCATGTCTTAATTTTGATTTTATTGACGCTAAAATTTGCGAAAGTTTCTTTACTATAAGTACACGATACTTAACTGAAATCAGTTGCTGAGCTCGTACGTTAAAATACAAATACGAGTGTATCTTAAATCTAACTTCCAATTATTATTTCGAAGACTTAGATAATACGAAACATGTTATGAAAGAATGTTAAAAAGCATGATTTCATTTTATTTATAAAATAACATACAATTCTCAATACGTAAATCGCAGGATATAAAATTCTTAGAAACCAAATTATAGTCAATGATTTTATTTCATTTTTGTCTGTAATGATAATAGGAATTTTATTTCTGTTTCTTTTATAGAAATTAATTAAACTTATTAACAAGTTTCAGAAAATATTTAATTATTCTATTACAAAAAATCGTTTTTAAATGTTGATTCTACTAACGTACCGTTACTTTACCGGGTCGTAGGAATCGATAGGTAACATCGTAGCGAGTGGAGCATCGCCCATCCGGAGGGGCGAGGGCGTGAGGCGTGCGCGTGTGCTGGAGAGCGGTATCTTCCGCTGCATCGCCAGCGCACGCGTGCGCGCGGCGGGAGGTGACGAGGCGCGCGCGGGGCCACGCGTGCAGGAAGCGTGCAGCTTACCCACAGAGGGGACGGGAGGGCAAGGCACTCACCGGCTGATGCCCAGGCAGAGTGCGAACACCTTTGTTTCCTTACGTCCCGTCCCAGATAAAAGTTGTGCATAATGGAAGAGTGTGCACATGCACTTATTCTGAATTCAGGAAGATAAATGTCACGTACGCTCATGAGGCCTTTATCACATGTTTGCGTTCTTCTTCATAATATACAGTTATCTGCAGAGATTATCATATTCATTTAGAATACAAGTTCATATTATACAATAATTATCACAAAATATTTTATTATTATTTAACATTATAGGATATATTATGATACAATAATATTATTCAACATACATAACTTTGTACTGCAAAATAGATTCTCTTCATGATGTCTAAAAATATAAATAAATTGTTGAAAATATCATGCCCTCTCAATCTGATATGGCAATGCTGACGTCGTGCCGCCTTAATCGTCAAAACCAACTTGGCTCAAGAAAACGTGCTCCTACTCCTTTACTAACAATGGTTGAATTAAGAATAAATGATAGAAACTAATGTTTCTAACAAAGTCATATAACGAGATATGTTCGCTTACGAATAATGCAAACTATTTTGCATCGAAAAACTAGCTACAGATTTGATATTATAGTCCTGTCGTCCAAATGCCCCGCCACAAACACTCCTCTCGCATCTAGCGAAATAAGGCCCCGTGAAACCGCGTATAATGCGCCATGCCAAACAACTTTAAGTAGTGTGGTCTTGGTGCTCGGCGGGCGTGAGGGCGCCGCAAGTGACCGATGGCGGCGTGGCGTGTGACGACTGCCTGCCTGTCGGCTGCTCTTCATCTTAACCGTCGCGCCGCGCCGCGTCGCTCCGATCTCGATGGCATCATGATAGCGATTGCAAGTGGCAAGGCGCTTGCAGAGCGATGGCAGAACTAAAGAACCAGAGCGGGTGATTGACAATGTAGAGATGGCATTGCAAGAAATAATACATCAATAAATGAGAAATATATCCGCAGCGATGTCAAATTTACTCTCCCAAACATATGTTGGTAATTTACTGAATTTTGTTTTCAATTTTTATTTAGTGTCGCACTTTTCTAGTTCGTTCAAGGTGGCACATCTATTAGTTATGCCTTTGAACTACATCGAAGAGTTACAATTTCATTAAATATATTTCTACCGTTTGTAAGGAATACCAGCTGTTTGTAGAACTTCACGCAATCGAACCATTGGAAAGGTCTGTAGAATTATAACTTATGATTTTGAGTATTACTTAACAACTAAGAGAATACTTTTACGAACTCTCCTTGCGAATTTTTTCTGAAACTATAGACTCCCCGGGTATTTTGAACTCCCATCTGAGCAGCGATATCTTCCTATTGAGAAAATCCATTTCCTGGAATTATCTGAATGTCCGTTGAATCGATATTAGAACTAATCAGGAATATGATTCCGTCGCGTGCGCGTTGATTGACATCCGTGCTGCCTCTGTGACACTTCGTAATGAGGACGAACGCGAGAGGGCAGTGGCGCGCTCATTCTAATATCTCGCAAAGGCAAAAGGAAGGCAATGCGTGCGATCGCACTGCCCCATTCCTCGCGTGGAGCGCTGCCAGCGCCACCAGATTTATCGTCGTTCGTGTCCCTCGACACCGGCTGATAAGAGACATCACATCGTGGAGAGTTTATGGGTACGGTTGTTATCTTCGATTTTTCTGGAGTGTTTCTGAGCTAGGAAAGCTAACATACTTGCAACGTCTTTCTAGCAATTATTGTTCCTATGCCACAATATATATATATATATATATATATATATATATATATATATATATATATATATATATATATTGATGACTATTCTAATAATTTAAAGTATGATCTAGTGATGACTGTTGGAAAGACTTTCTCTGTCTTTATAGATCTGGCTTTGTTTCCTTTTTAACCCTTTTAATCTCATAACATAGTAAATCACGTGGCGCCGCTAGCATGTGGAGTCTGTAATGGCGGCGCAGGACAGTTAACATTTTAAACAACTCAAAAATTTCGAAGCACTTGATAATAAATCATGAGAAACTGTTTCCTGTTTTCTCAAATTTTGTGATCGGAATCATTCAAATTATCAGAAAACGCAATTAATTTTACAAAAAGAAAGAGATGTACCTTAAATAAATTAAATCTGAAAATAAGATGTAATTTTCATGATGTAATTGGATGTATAAAAAATCTTAGGGAAATAAAAATTATGGTATTTCACATGTTTTTAAAAACAAATAATCAACACATTTAAAACGAGATCTGTAAAGCGATCGC